CCTCATAAGGAAATGAGAATACTTTGTTTTGCTGAGTATACCAATAGATGTTGGTATTTCAGCATCGTGCATTTAGTGATTTTGTGAACCTAAAAAATTCAACTGTAATCTACAACTATGTAAGTTTTTTCTGCAAGTGTGCTAATCCATGTTCTTGTAGGTGGACTGCATGCTGTATACAGTAATTTCCTTTGGGTATCCTCTGCTTTTGCTTTATGGTCACCAATAGCTATGTTCATGAAATTTCAGTCATAGGTATGTAGACTCTAATAAAATTCCTGTATTTTAAGAATGTTAACTTTATATAGTCTTGTTTTTTCCTAATGCCCCAAATGCCACAAAAACTGTCTGGATAACGGATACCACAAACATGCATTCTGTAGAGAGGGCTGCAGGTAATGAGATACTAGTCAGCTTATTCTGAAACTTCTGAGTATTATTCCTTCCAGAAAAGCATAAGGTTAAACTTTGTTGTGTTATCAAAAATAGACCAAAAACTGCTTTGACTATATTAAGAAGAAACTGTTATATTATCAAAAGTATATATGGTTCCAAATTATTTGGAGGGCTGTCCCAAAAAGAGAGATTGTTCTATTTCATTCCAGAAGGCAGAACTAAGGTAGGGGGAAGTTGAGAGAGGGAGAATTCAGTTTTTTTAAAAATATATTTTATTGACTTTTTTACAGAGAGGAAGGGAGAGGGATAGAGAGCTAGAAACATCGATGAGAGAGAAACATCATCAGCTGCCTCCTGCACACTCCCTACTGGGGATGTGCCCACAACCCAGGTACATGCCCTTGACCGGAATCGAACCTGAGCCCTTTCAGTCCGCAGGCCGATGCTCTATCCACTGAGCCAAACCGGTCAGGGCAGGGAGAATTCAGTTTAATCCATGCATACATTTTTTTGATGCTGTGGGACTTCTGGCATGTCAGTAACCCCTGGAGCAATGGCCATCTTAGCTGATAAATAGGGATAATAGAATACCATGTAGTGCATGAGGTTATAGTGAGGATTAAACATAGCAATGTTCAAGGAAGAACTTCACAAAACATTTCAAATACTCATAGTTTTAAAAAATACTTAATCTTTTAAGAGTCCTATTCAGATTTTAAAATAATGGTTAATTTTAGTTTCCTGCTATAATTATTTAGCATTCTTCAGATGCATATAGATAAACAATGTAATTTCCAATTGGCAGCACAGTTTGAAGAATTTTAAAAAATTCTCACCTAAAGAGACATCTGGTATGTCTCATTTCAATCAATGCTTTACTCTCCCTTAATATCAATGGCTTTTTTCTCCATCCTGGGTCTGAAGTCTTATGGTATGAACTCCACCACGTTTGTGGAAACTGTCCTTGCTTTAATAAAGACAATTGTGACTATTAAAATCTTCATTGTTAATGCACTTAATGTCCAATATTGTTGGGATTTGGGGAGAGCCCTACAAGGTTGCTAGTAAAACAAAGAGCATGTGAAGTCGAGCCAGGAAAAGAAGATGACACATGCACACTTAAGACACATATATAGTGGAGAAACTAAGATGGCGGCAGAGATTAACACCGGGAAGTTGATGCCGCTCACAACAATTGATTAATACCTCAGAAAAACAATACGGACATCATCCAGAACCACAGGAAGTCTGGCTGACTGTAAATTCTACAACTAGAAGGAAAGAAAAACACACTGAGAGCAAGAGAAGCTGTGGAAGTAAAGTGCAGAGATACAGAGGCACACACGGAAAGGGCTGGCAACTGAGGACACGGTTGTCTTTTTCAAACAGGAGAGAGTCATAAGCTCCCGACTGCTCTGACCTCCAGTTCCAGGTGAGTTTCTAGGGATCCAGACTCATGTGGGGAGAAACTGGACTGTCTGGCATTGGTCGAGGTGCTTGCAGAGATTACCATGGGACACTGAGACCCGGGGCCACTTAGGGAAGGACTGAGGATCAGCCATAGCTGTTTGCTCCACCCTGTTGATTCCCTGAGACCCCGCCCCACCTAC